TAATGGGAATCGCCCCAAACTCTTGCTACAACATTTTCATCAACATCTGATTTATCTGATTTTGTCATTGGCCTGTTCTTGTGCAAATCCATCGCTATTTCAGTTTTCAAACTCAATTGTGCTGCTTTTCAACAAGTTGAGACACCTATGAAGTGTTGGAAACTGGATCGCACTTCGGTCAGCTCTAAAGCTAAAACTACTGGATCCAAATATTTCACTTTGGTATCAAACGGAAAAAGAAACATTTTGCAATAACAATGTAAAACGAAATCTCAGCCCCAAAGTCACGCCAAGACGAGATTTGGTTTCTAAAGACGCCTGGTCGGAGCAGGCGATTCCGGGCAAGTTAGGGAGGAGCGTGTAGGGAAATTCCTGGGGAAAGTTTGGGTGTAATGTGATAAGCACCATAAATATAGTCCACATCAAGCAAACAGGGAAGCCTCATCCAACGAGAAACAAATAAATGCCTCAATGGTAAAATTATGAAGTGCTTCACTCAGAGGTTCAGACATTGTTTTTCATCAAACCAGAAGTCTGTCCAGATGTTTTCATCATACGAAGCATAACGGATTAGACCACACAAACAAATTGTGGTCCTTTATGTTTTTCATGATATCATTTTTCAAAAAGTGCTCCAATATGTACGTCTGCCAGTTGAAATGATTTAACACATTACACCCAAGGGCGGACGGGAAGTCTATTCCCAAATCTTAAGCAAGAAGAAGGAACCCACCTACCTAAATACAAGCATTTAAAAACAATTTGTTTAATTCTAAACAAGTTACAAAATTAGAAAGGGAAATGAATTTAGTTTCAGAAAAATATAACTTTATATGCACAAACTGTTGGAAATGTTCTAACTTTAGTTTAATCAGGGTGTCCGGCCCGTCACTCTCACTCTCAATCCTCGCGGAGAGGCCCTAGATCTAAATTCTCTATCTGATTAATGGGAATCGCCCCAAACTCTTGCTACAACATTTTCATCAACATCTGATTTATCTGATTTTGTCATTGGCCTTTTCTTGTGCAAATCCATCGCTATTTCAGTTTTCAAACTCAATTGTGCTGCTTTTCAAAAAGTTGAGACACCTATGAAGTGTTGGAAACTGGATCGCACTTCGGTCAGCTCTAATGCTAAAACTACTGGCCCCAAATATTTCGCTTTGGTATCAAACGGAAAAAGAAACATTTTGCAATAACAATGTAAAACGAAATCTCAGCCCCAGAGTCACGCCAAGACGAAATTTGGTTTCTAAAGACGCCTAGTCGGAGCAGGCGATTCCGGGCAAGTTAGGGTGGAGTGTGTAGGGAAATTCCAAGGGAGAGTTTGGGTGTAATGTGTTAACCACCATAAATATAGTTCACATCAAGCAAACAGGGAAGCCTCATCCAACGAGAAACAAATAAATGCCTCAATGGTAAAATTATGAAGTGCTTCACTCAGAGGTTCAGACATTGTTTTTCATCAAACCAGAAGTCTGTCCAGATGTTTTCATCATACGAAGCATTACGGATAAGACCACACAAACAAATTGTGGTCCTTTATGTTTTTCATATCATTTTTCTAAAAGTGCTCCAATATGTACGTCTGCCAGTGGAAATGATTTAACACATTACACCCAAGGGCGGGCGGGAAGTCTATTCCCAAATCTTAAGCATGAAGAAGGAACCCACCTACCTAAATACAAGCATTAAAAAAAAAATTTTTTTAATTCTAAACAAGTTACAAATTAGAAAGAGAAATGAATTTAGTTTCAGAAAAATATAACTTTATATGCACAAACTGTTGGAAATGTTCTAACTTTAGTTTAATCAGGGGGTCCGGCCCGTCACTCTCATTCTCAATCCTCGCGGAGAGGCCCTAGATCTGAATTCTCTATCTGATTAATGGGAATCGCCCCAAACTCTTGCTACAACATTTTCATCAACATCTGATTTATCTGATTTTGTCATTGGCCTGTTCTTGTGCAAATCCATCGCTATTTCAGTTTTCAAACTCAATTGTGCTGCTTTTCAAAAAGTTGAGACACCTATGAAGTGATGGAAACTGGATCGCACTTCGGTCAGTTCTAATGCTAAAACTACTGGCCCGAAATATTTCGCTTTGGTATCAAACGGAAAAAGAAACATTTTGCAATAACAATGTAAAACGAAATCTCAGCCCCAGAGTCACGCCAAGACGAAATTTGGTTTCTAAAGACGCCTAGTAGGAGCAGGCGATTCCGGGCAAGTTAGGGTGGAGTGTGTAGGGAAATTCCAAGAGAGAGTTTGGGTGTAATGTGTTAACCACCATAAATATAGTTCACATCAAGCAAACAGGGAAGCCTCATCCAACGAGAAACAAATAAATGCCTCAATGGTAAAATTATGAAGTGCTTCACTCAGAGGTTCAGACATTGTTTTTCATCAAACCAGAAGTCTGTCCAGATGTTTTCATCATACGAAGCATTACGGATAAGACCACACAAACAAATTGTGGTCCTTTATGTTTTTCATGATATCATTTTTCTAAAAGTGCTCCAATATGTACGTCTGCCAGTTGAAATGATTTAACACATTACACCCAAGGGCGGGCAGGAAGTCTATTCCCAAATCTTAAGCATGAAGAAGGAACCCACCTACCTAAATACAAGCATTAAAAAATTTTTTTTTAAATTCTAAACAAGTTACAAATTAGAAAGAGAAATGAATTTAGTTTCAGAAAAATATAACTTTGTATGCACAAACTGTTGGAAATGTTCTAACTTTAGTTTAATCAGAGTGTCCGGCCCGTCACTCTCACTCTCAATCCTCGCGGAGAGGCCCTAGATCTAAATTCTATATCTGATTAATGGGAATCGCCCCAAACTCTTGCTACAACATTTTCATCAACATCTGATTTATCTGATTTTGTCATTGGCCTGTTCTTGTGCAAATCCATCGCTATTTCAGTTTTCAAACTCAATTGTGCTGCTTTTCAACAAGTTGAGACACCTATGAAGTGTTGGAAACTGGATCGCACTTCGGTCAGCTCTAATGCTAAAACTACTGGCCCGAAATATTTCGCTTTGGTATCAAACGGAAAAAGAAACATTTTGCAATAACAATGTAAAACGAAATCTCAGCCCCAGAGTCACGCCAAGTCGAGATTTGGTTTCTAAAGACGCCTAGTAGGAGCAGGCGATTCCGGGCAAGTTAGGGTGGAGTGTGTAGGGGAATTCCAAGAGAGAGTTTGGGTGTAATGTGTTCACCACCATAAATATAGTTCACATCAAGCAAACAGGGAAGCCTCATCCAACGAGAAACAAATAAATGCCTCAATGGTAAAATTATGAAGTGCTTCACTCAGAGGTTCAGACATTGTTTTTCATCAAACCAGAAGTCTGTCCAGATGTTTTCATCATACAAAGCATTACGGATAAGACCACACAAACAAATTGTGGTCCTTTATGTCTGTCAGATAATCTATATAGCAAATATTGAGCCATGAACTAGAACATCGTGGGCAATTTGTAGAGAATACAATTTTACAAACTCACATCATCACTGCCTTTCTCACCCTGGAACAGGATATAGGCCACGAACACTTTCCACCTTTCCCTATACTGGGCTAGTTGCTTGATGTCACTCCATATCTTCCCACTTTTCTGTACATCCATTTTCAAGACTTCTCCAGGCTCCACGTGGTCTTCCACTTGATCTTTCCTTGTTATGCAGCTGCTTGACTTCCTCCTGAGAGTATGTTAGATCCATTGCCAACGTTTTCTTCCCATCTCATCTCTGACTGGGCTGTGTCTCGTTCTTCTTAATACTTCCTCGTTGGTGACCCTGTCTGTGTATGTGATCCTCAGTAATTTCATTAGACACTTGTTCAAGAAAATCTGGATCCTCTTTATGCAAGTGTGAGATGCGTTCCATGTCTCACATCCATACAAGAAGACCGACTTCACATTTAAGTTGAAAATTCTCAGCTTTGTTCGTAGTCAGATATCCTTGGTCCTCTAAATCTTATTAAAAGATATAAATGCAGTCTGTGCCTACCCAATGCGGGACTTTATTTCAGAGCCTGTTCCTCCCTCTCTGTCAATTACACTCCCAAGATAGCAGAAGGATTCGATGTCTTCTAGTGCATTTTCCTCTACTGTGACCTGCTCCTTTCATAGTGCATCTATCTGTTGGACTTTTGACTTTCCGGGGTGGATCCTCAATCCAACAGACTCTTATAAGCTGTTTAAAATTGTAGTCTTTGCTTGCATCTGTTCCTAGGTGTGTGACAGAAGCGCCAGGTCATTTGCAAAGTCCAGATCATCCAACTGTGTCCATGGGGTACACAAAATGCCGTTTACAAACTCACAACTTCTCCATATTGCACCTTCCTTGCATACAAACCCTCTCCCTCTTAACCATGCAAAAAGATGCTTAGAAGTATAAATTCTTGGATCAAGGTCTATATGTTTCAATAGTCTGTGTAGTGTGTGCATGAACGGAAGCTGATGAGAGTAATAGTATCTTTTCCATTGTCTGATTATTTTGTGTGCTATGCTGGTCACATTTGGTGGGTACTTTAGTGTTGTCTTTTGTTTGTGAAAAAAAAAAAAGCCACATCCATAATCGCAATTTTCACAAGACGACTTTTAAAGCGGTGACTTACATCACACACTGATTCAACATTCCTCCTCTCTTTCATGCTCAGTTGTATAAAAAGGACCAATGTCATCAACTGCAAGTCTTCGAAATAAGAAACATAAAGTTTCGTGTCAAAATTCATTAACACAGCAGCACTCCGCAGGCAGCATAGTCCCTGGTCTCTAACTCCAAGGTCATACTGACATCACTGTGCTTTTGCCCTAGAACTAAAGTACTGTGAAGGTGACACAGTCCATAAGGAGCACAAAATCTTGATGCAACTCTAGGACTTTCTCAAATACCTTTTACTTCAAGCCCCAGAAAGGTGAAACGACAAATTTATAGAGAACAAAAATTTGAAATGGGACTATCTTTCAGTGTGCAAAATGACTTACCTTTTCTACATCGTTTTTTAGCGTGTATAGCGTAGACTCCACAAGTACTGGGGCATATTTCATTGCTACCAGCTTATCCACAGCAAACAAATGGTCCAAAACCTACAATACAACATAAATAATATTCGAAATCCCAGTTTGTATCTTTAAGCAAACAAAATTGTATACATAATGACAAAAATTATGAATTCAAATACTAGTAACTAAAATCAATCTTGAATCTGTTTTTCTGTTTTAACACTTTGCCCCCACGGGACAGTAAGAAGCCATCTCTTTCCCCATGGGTCACTGATCGCTGACAGTGTAATATAGCAATAAAAACATTTTATGAATGATCCCCTTTTAGACATGTGCACTTGCTTAAGTTATTTTTTCCTTCATAAATGGTTTGTGTAGCCTTTGAGTCTGCAGTTTATTTACAACAATAATTGGAGTAGAAAATTTTTCAAAAGTCAAGTAGACCTAGCATAAGTGGTGCTTTAAAGTGTTGTCATTATACGGATTCCGATGATGAATAAGCTCAATACATAAAGTTTCAAGTGCCAATTCTCATCCCTATTTTGATGAACATGCGATCGTTGCGATCAATTTTCTCAATGTGCTGAAAATTTCACACTAATCAAGATGTTTTTTAGCCGAGACACAGGAAGAGTACTGATGCTCCTCATCTGCTTCCAAGTACAGGGGGACAAAGGTTTTGCACTCTGTGCGCCGCGTGGGTGAAAAGTGTCAAGCAAAAAAGTTAAAACTAAAAAATGCTATGTTAATAATAGGCCAATTTAGAAACCACATCACAAACATTTGCAGTTTTTTTCTCAGATTACAAAAATTATGATTTCTAAATCAGCCTTCCTGCAATCTTTTCTTAGCTTCAATGAATAAAAAAGAGGTGAAAGATTTGAAGTTGAAATAAAAATTGCGGGGAGAGAGAAGACTGCTGCAGGACAAAAACACAAAGTGGTTGTAGAATAGGAAGCAACTTCCAGTCCAAAATACGCAAAATTTTACTGAAAGGAACTTTTTAATGCTTATTGAGAAAACCTATACATCTTTTAGCATCAATCTCTGTGGCACACAGTCAGCTCAAAAAAATAAAAGCCCCTGAAAGAAAGGCCAGTTTACTCTTGACCAACACAATTCAAAAGCCCAACCCATGTATAAACATAGAAATCTGTATTACAAAAATGTGTTGAATATTCCTACAACCAAGGTTAGGATTTAATATCCTTCCAATAGCGTTGTCCATGTATCTGCAAAATTAAGCCAAACACTTTTTCGAAAGAAAAAAACCGGAATTTCCCTCTTTTTATCTTCTACAATTGCTCAAAAATTTGTGTAAAGTGTTCCTTTACTTACCACCCATTGTAACTATGGTCGTGAATAACATGATTTCAGACAAAACAGATGATTGACATAATTAATGATAATTTGGCAGATACAGTTAGTCGGACACTGACAATATTATGTTTGTGTGCCTGGAGAAAGGTCCCAGTTGCCGGAAATTTTGGATACTGAAATAAGGCCAAATTTTTGTAACAAATTCAACGCTTAACTGATTTCATCCATGATTTTTTTCAGGCTCTGGACAGAGATATTTTTCCCTGTGCAATATTTCACCTGGGGTGCATTATTTAATGCATCACTGTGAAGCTCAAAGTTACTCTAATAAATATTGTCATATAAAAAACTGATGGGAATAAACAGAGGAATCAGATTATATCAATTACAATGACCTATATTCTGAGTGTGTTGTATTTTCCCTCAGACAAAAATGAATGAGAGAAAAAAAACTGTGTAACACATCTTTGAAAATTTCAACTACCTCATTTTCTCAGCTCTACAAGTTCTTATAACCAATAGAAATCAACACAAAATAGTAGAGATATCATCCTAGCACATATTTATGCAAGAATTTCCCAAATTCAGTTGAATATCTTCCACTGAAGGGCCTTTTTTTATACCAGGCTCCATGTTGTTTGCCCTTTCTTAGCGACAACAAAAAATAATTTTTGTAAGAATTTTGCGGAGTTTCGATAGATTTTGGCGCTCAAAGATTGAGGTCAGGCTTGTTTACAAGTTCTACTTCCTTTCGACAACTTAAAAAGTAGGAACTATGTTAAAAAGTGCACATTCGTTTTGGATTTCGCTCGAATTTCGTCGAGCCGCTCACAGCAGTCGAATGGCGACAGTGGAAAAACCCAGAGCCGCTGTCAGCAGCCGAATGGGCGAAATCAGTTAACAGGCTTATTTTAAAAATCTTCAAATATTTTGAGTACTTTTAAAGATATGCTACACTTTGTAACACAGGGTGTAAAAACAAAGTTTAGAGAAAAAAGGTTTGAACCTTAGTATGTTGACCCAATTTCTAGCACATTCTAACCTTTAGCGAAGTACATGTTGCCAAAAAAGTTACTAAAAAGACACTTAGACTTAAATTATTATAAAAATCCTTTCAATATGCTAGTAAGAAATGATTAAAAGTGTGTTTTCTGATGGAATTTCCTTTTTGGCCTTTTCACCCCATTGATCAAAAATTGCTGTGTCAACAACTGGGACCTTTCTGCAGGCACACACACATATGTTTTGCTAAATTACAGTACAAAAACAAGCAAGAAACTCAACTTGCAATGCTTCAAGTCAAGTGAAGTGTCTACCCACCTCTTTCTGGTCCTGACCAAACTTCTGAACAGCCCTGGCAACCCGAGCCTTGAGGAAGCCCATGGATGTCAGGCTGTCGGTGAAAGCCTGCGCCTCGCGGGACAAACTGTGGTACGGATCAGTCAGACCAACAGGTGGGCTGGTGGGGAGTTGGCTCTCCTTATATACTTCAGGTTTAGGTGACGGGGACGGGGGCGGTGGTAAAGGTCTCATTTTGTTCAGAGGCTGCAGAAAAAAGTCAGGTAAAAAAAGAAAGAAAATTAAAAAACATTTTTCTAAAAGACTCTACGTGGAGAGTTGAAAAGCTCTTACCATTTAAAACCCAACAAAATATGAGATAAAATTCATGTTTTTAAATGTGACAGCCCCAATATATTATCATCATATCCTGCAAGCAAAGGGGATACTTTGAAACAGATGCTGACTTTTTCATAATCGATCAAAACTTATTTTCACTCCACCCTCAAAGAACTCCATTAAGGTACATACTTTAAAATATTTTTGTATGAGATCGACACCCTATTAGAAGCAAAGTCTCATTTAAAAACCCCACCACCACAGTCCTTGGAGAGAGGAAAGAAGAATTCTTTTTTCAAGAGGGTCATAAGGCAGGGACATTATACCAAAGTAAATATCACACACATAAAACTGATCGAGTTCATTTGCTTTAAAACCATACAGTATCATCAGAGAGATTGCGCAATCTACCAGCAAGCAGTGAGTCTATTCATTAACCCATGTACACTGTCCTTGTGAATGGACAGTGAGGGTGACCATACTGAATTAAAAGACTGACCAAAGGTATATGTACCTTGGACTCATCAGAGTCAAAGCTTTTGAACGAACAACCATCTTTGGTGAGATGAACCTAGGATTAAAAGTTTGTTCAAGGTAAAAATAAAGGGAAAAACATAAGTAAACACTCTATTCAAAATACTATACCAGTGAGAATCTTTATCAGCTGATTTAAAGATTTACAGAGAGCATGGTCCTTATTCTCCTTCACAGCGAACTTTAACCTTATATTTTCACCCTGACAAATCTCAATACTATTTCTTTGATGTATATTACTCCCTTGCTCATTTATGATTTTGCACTGGAAGAATTTTAAAACGTAATTGAAATAAGGGTTTTTTTAATAAAGGAAAGATAAAATGGGAGAAAATGATCAATTTGATAAAAGACCTGAATATCAAAAAAAGGGTAATTTGAAAATGAAGGAAACACAAGATTAATGGACCAACAGTAACACAATAAAATAGGAAATTAAGGGTTAGATAACACAACTGATTATGTATTCTGAGATCCTTAGATCTCAATAATTATTACCACCAACACACTAAAAACTAGATACTGGAAAAGACATTTCTATTGCTTGCCATTAAAATTAAAAGACTGCAGCAGAGTTAATATCCTTGTCAAACTAAAGGAAATTTCTGTTTAAGAGGCTACAGCACATACAGACAAATTTTGATGCCAGGGATAGAATGGATGTGTCTGTAATATCCATCCAAAATTAAGGAAATACTAGGACAGATCTGTACACTGAAAAATTCTTTGGTGTCAGTCGACTTGGTTTAATCATAAGTCATCTCACACATTATCACATCAGCACAATGAGGGATGCTATTTTTATTTTCCCTGTGTACAGCAAATTTTGCCAAATATTATATATGTCATCTAAACAAAAAGTACTGAAAATGTGACATGAAATATTAGAAGCGTAAATAAAAATGATGTCATATTTCTGCTCTGAGTCATAAATGCCAAACTCCTTTGGTGACATTTCTGCATTTCACTTACAAATTACCAAAATGTGAAGGGATAGAAAAGACACATTCACTTTGTAATTATTTTTTTTAATTGAAGCAATTTGCTTCAGGAGCCAGCAGAGCACAAATAATTCAACAAAACACAAGAAGTCCATTACAGTAAAATCATTATTTTCCTGCTATCCCACAAGCAGTCAATCAACAGAAAATTCTTAAATCTAGACTTATCAGCCTGCCCTATTTTCTTACAAGAAGAGTTCCCTCATCTTTCAAGCCACTGTTCTCAAAATGTAAAACTTTTCTCACCTGGCCAGACCGTGGTGAAGAAGAAGGAAGGGGATCTAATGCAGGGGACTTTCTGAACAGATCAGACTCTCTGCCACTAGTCTGTAGATCGGTGGTAGACACACTGTGTCGACTGTACGGGTTCTTCATCGGTGCTGGGGACCTAACACTAGAATCATCTAGCGAGGCAGCTAGAGACGGCCCAACTGAAGACCACATCCGAAATGAATCACTTCCAGGTCGATTTGACACATCTGGCTTGCTGGGAACAGGAGGTGGGGTGCGCAGTGGACGACCTGAAGATTTACTTGGACCAACAATTTGCCCTTGCGTAGGGGTCTGGTTTAAGGAGGCGCTAGTTGCAGCAAATGGATTTTTCACTCCAGAATCTGCAGGATTGTTTGTAGCAAAGGGGTTTTTCGACTCAGCAGCACCTTGAAGAAAAGGGTTCAAGGACTGAGAAGGTTGAGGCATAAACGAGTTTGAAAGAAACGATGAGTTCTGCTCTGCAGAGCTCTTTGGGTTATCACAGTTTCCATTAAGCCTGTGCGGGCCAGGTATAGGCGGTAGAACAGGTTTGTACAACTTACTGCTTGCCAAATTAGGAGGCAGTTTGCCACCCAAGGAGGCCTCAACACTATCTGATTCCCCAGGCAGGGTGACATTTTTATTAACACCATTCACAGTGTGATTTTTACTCGTTTGCTGCTTAAAGTCTGTTATTTCAACATACTCCCCATCTTCCCGTGCAACTAATTCATCTTTAAAGCTTTGTGATTTAAGATCTTCATTCTTGCTGCTACAATTATGAATGTTTTCTTCATTATCAAAAGTCACCCATTTATTTTCCTTTACAACAGTAGCAACATCATATATGCTTTCAGTACCATCAACATTGTCACAGGTTGCTGGCGGAGCCTCAGACACCTCAGTGTTAGCACTTTGTTGACGGCTGACACTACTATTCTTTCTTGGCGCAGGAATCGGTTTTGACGAATCTAATAATACTTTCAATTCCTCCATGTCGTTGATGGTTTGCAACTCCAAATTCTCAAAGGGATCTGCCTCTTGTTCAAACATTGAAACATCAAATTCCGAATTGTCAGCAGACTGACCATCATTCATCACATTAGACGAGTGAGACTTACTCGCTGCAGTCGCCTGAATTGGGATTGGTTTTAAAATCATGCCAGGCTCAGACATGGTCCTCGGAGCAGCAACAGGGGGTTTGGGAGGCACTCGGGGCCGAGCTCTTTCAATTCCACTGACTGGTGTGCTTTTCGGAACATCGTACACAGAGGCATTCGAGTCCTCTTTAGAGATAGCTCCATCTGTCTGCTTTTGGCTTGAGGAAGCAGCAGCCACGGCCTCAGCCTCCAGACGCTTCTGTTCCTGTTCAGCCTGCTCAGCTTTCTCTGCCTGTTCTTTGGCTGCCTTCTGCAAAGCCTCATCTCTTGCTTTAGCCCAGGCCAGCACAGCTTCTTCTGTCTCAAAGGTATACTGTTCACAAAAGAAATGTATCTTGATTAAATAAAAGAGAATCAAGCCAACACAATGACACAGCTTCAGTTCAAAAGCCATATGAGGTAGAAATAGAAAATAAGAACAAAAAAGAAGTAGAACCCACAGGTGCTGCCATCAAATCATCCACAGAAAAAAAAAAGGAAAAAGTGAATTACCAATCCCCTTACATTCTTGAGATTTAAGACAAACTACAATACAAGGCTTGAAAATTTAAAGTAGGAGATTTTAAAAATCTATGTACTCAAACTTGACAAAGAAAAATATCCAGTAGACAAAATTTCAGTCAATCTTTCTTGATAGAAAAAGCTGCATAATGAAACAAAAAGTGTAACCTAATAAACAAAAGCAATTCTAAAATATCTTTAGTTCTGAGTAAGAACACTCATCAAAACTTCTGAGATCCAAAAGTTAGAATATTCAAATCACAGAACAGTGAAAAATAAACAGTGAATGTAAAAAAGAATACTTTTGATCATCATTACAACACTTTTACCGACAAGAAATTCAAACTACCAACCTCGACATTTAATACCCTCTGAGAATTTGTTCTTGAAAGCTCCGGAGGTGCAACAGTCTGAAAAACAAAAGCAATTATCAGAATTTCTTCATACTCGTATATGGATGTCAAAAAGACAAAGTAAGCAGATCACACAAATTGGAAACCTGTCTCACGACAATCTCTCTCAGAGTCTCTGCCCATCAATGACACCTATTTATTTCACTTTAGGTGCCCGTCTGCCATCCCACACTACCTAATCTTCACCAAAACTTAACAAAATGTCCAACTTTTAAGCTGGACGAAAGAAGACTCAAGTCTCTCTTCTCTTGTCACTTCACTACAGAAAGTTTCAATAGAAAGTAATAAACAATAGCCATAAGGAAAACAGTATCAGCGTCACATGAAAGTATACTTCTCTCCCAATTCTAATTTGAGTGTAAAGGTGTGTATATTTGTGGGCAATAACATTTCTGGAACTTTTGATAAAAATGACAAAATCTTTCCTTTTTCTTCACTTATAAATATAAATTAAGAACACTTTTGCTATAACATGAAGCAGAATATACCACCTTAGCTGTAGGATAATAACAGACATTGTCATGTGAATACCAGTGCAAAGAAAACCTTCAAAATGAAAATAAATAGCTATCATTCTTTTTTTTTTTATGAACTATATCTGCTTCCCCCCTCCCTACCCCCTCAAGATGTCTACTGAACAATTCAATTTATTTCAAGTTAAAACTGACAGTAAGCAATAATTAATAAATAAAATATTCCAAAAGTTTAGAGATAAAAAACATTGAGAAAATCATTCACAAGGAAGTAGAAAAACAATTCATACACAGTGATCTTACCAGATAACAAAACCAAAACAATCCTCTAGAAATACCTTTGCTGGCTGTTTGAAATTCTGCCCGATCTTGAAAGGCACCCCATCTAAGTAGGAGTTGCTCGAAGCCAAACCTGCAGGGACAGCAGAGCATGATAAACACATGATAACACTAAGGGATTCTTTTAATGTTCACTTTTGGTTTCATTACTTCCAATGTGAAACAACATGGCTCAAAAGCTGTCTACAGTTTTTCCATCACCAGAGAAATGAAGCGCAAGAGAGATTTAACATACGAGGAAATTAGAAGAATTTTGTCTGAACTTCCTGCCCCATGTTTGCTTCAAACTAGTTTGGGTTGTGGGTCAACAATGTCTTGTAATTGTGGTCCTCTCCTTTCAGTGTCAGTCTTGTACGCAAATGTGTTGTAAGAATTTAGCTCCGATTAATGATGTGCTGTACCAGTTAGGTCAATATTTTTCAGGTTTTTACTTGCTGTTTGAAGGTTAGAGGCTACCATAGTGGGCCTAAAGAAACTACCAAACCTTTAAGACTTCTTCTGTCCTATTTTCTAAAGCTTTGAGAGTATGCTTTTCAAACAGCTAAAATGATAACAATGGAAATCATCCTCATCCTGACAAGCTCCCAAAAATCATTTGAAAGCTGAAAGCAACTATCTAATGATAAAACACAACAGATTCTGATGCTTTGCTCATATAAAGGAATTAAAACCACATTATAATTGAGTGTCCAAAGGCAATCTCAAGACATTGCTCTCTAAGCACCCTTTAGGACCAACTTCAATGGAATGCTTCCAAATGAAAAAACAGCTCAATCCAAAATCCCTCTGTCTGCCATCAGATGTCAAAATCTTCACTTCTGATGAATTCAAAATATAAGTATTGTGGATTCATTATTAGACGTTCGATCCCCACATCTGACTTGGGTTTGGAGGAGCACAGAGATATTCCCTAAGTTTTCATTGTGCCATGAGCATGTACTTTTTCAGTTAAAGGTGACGGGGGAGCTCAACAATAATGGGAACAAAGTAAAAGTGATGGAATAGGTAGAGCAAATATTAGTCACTTGATAAACTCAACACTGTCGGTAAGACGTAGAGTAAAGACATGAAACAATATGATAACCTAGATATTTGACAGTATTTTGAAAAGGGTACACATTAAACATTTCTTCGTGATAATATAAATCTTTAAAATGGTTCTCCACAAGAAACAGCCATTATTACTTTCCTGTCTTCCATTTACAAAACCCAAATTACAACTCTAATTTTCTATTCACTGTCCCCACAGCAGCTTTGTTTGTTTGTTTGTATTATTACACTTAATCAAGGCAAAAGATCTTCAATAACTTTCAACTTACGAACAATCATGTTTTCAACAGAACATTCTTCTATACACAAAATTAAAAATCATCCATATTTATCCAGAGCAGACTGCAAATCTCCCACAGATTTTTTAAAGCTATAATTACGTCAAACTTCTGAAACTTTTCTCACCATGACGTCCAAGAGTGCCATATAATCGGTCATCCATGATTAGATCATGTCAAGCTGCATCATTCTCTCTCATTAATTAAAAGTCAGCTACTGAGGATAAAAATAAAACATTAATTTATGGTTGGGTGTCTCAAGAGCTGAAACATTTTTTTTTAGAAAATGCCATTTATAATACATCGAAATAATCAGAATTAGATATATGTGAAAAAAAACAACAAGTTCACTCTTTGATTACTTTGAAACAACAAAAATTATAATATAACAGTGGGCTTTATAAATATATCATGTAGTTACTAGAAGTATCATCTTATAGCTCATTCGTGCTTTTGACATTAACAAAATGTCCACCTATCTTGAATTGAACAGAAGTAGAGATATATGGAATTGAAGGAGGTGGGGGTCGCCTGGCGTCAGAGGAAAAAATTTGTGAGAAAATGGTCGCCAAAGTTTGGTGAATTATAAAGTTTATAAGCTTAGTGTTCTTGAAAAGTGCAAGGTATTTTTTTACTTTCCCTCCCGTCTCACACTTAGCTACCAGATGTCTATTTTCTACTAAATATTGATGCGCTGAACACGAATATCAACTTCATTTCCGTCGCAAATTAATAGTTTTTGAAATATTTGATTGTTTTTAACCGAGATAGACATGATGCTTTGGACCTATCGGGGGGTTCCAGGGGGGCCTGCCCCACTGGGGTTAAAGAAAATCTGGGGGGTTTTAACCCATAATTTGATATTTTACAGTTAGATTTGAAATTGTCTTTGAAAATAATTGATTTGCGACAGTTTTAGTGGCTTTATGTGTGATCTGCAGCAAACAGTACACGACAGTTTGACCACTGAAACAGTGCATCTGTGTGCAGGAGTGAAAGTAAAAATTTACCAAGTGCAAATTCACGTTTTTTTTGTGCCTCCTTCGATAAAATCTAAATGTTTTTCAATAAAATGCACACAGAAATGAGTTTATAAATTGACATATATATTATAATTATATGAAATGATGGTAAGTACAGAGCATTAAAAATGCCCAATGGAATTCTTCCCATACTATCAACACAGCCTTCAGCCTTCCTCTTTATAGGCATGCCCCCCTGAATTTGATATTTTGCAATTAAGTTTGAGAAGGCTATCTCTCCATATCGGCACCTGCATCAAAAAGTAATCGTTTAGAACTACAGAAGTAATCGTCGGTGGAGACAAAACAAAGATAGTAAATAACAAGATGGGCCACTCAGCCAAAAAAGTGTCCGCAGGAAGTATGCTCTTTGCTTCAGATGGCGCTGCAGTCTGTTTTGAAGCTCTCTTTCGTTTTTCCAGAAGAAGAATAGGAATAGCACCTTCTTGCGTGCGCAGATCGACTGCTGTTCATCAGCAGTTCGGGTTCGTTCAGTACGGAGTTTTAGCTTTTTAAAATTTTAATGACCTCTCGCCTTTCATTCTAAAGTCAAATTAAAAAAGAAAACAATCACCCTTTCCTCTGGAAGAGGTTTTTTGTCAGCGTAACCATTTTTAAAAAGCGTTCTTCCGAAATTCATTCAAAAACTTGCTAGTTTCACTTTGATCTTTTTACCTTAAGTAGGATAACTCTGTTCACAAAACAAAAGGTGCGCTTTTGAGAAGAGGGCGCCACCGAATTTTGAGGACACTTTTTTAATTGGCTCAAAGAGAGAAGTGGCCCATCTTGTTATAATGACAATGTACTATCTTTGGTCAAAACTAGAGTCTAGTATCCCCAAACGGGACCACCATTGTACAGGAGTGCCCAAGAGTAGATCTAGATCTTGGGTGGGGTGGGGTGTGTCAACAGTCAGGTGGGCAACCAGAAATCAAGACTAATATTACTAATAAAAATATGGGAGCGGTGTTCAGTCTCTGTCAGACTCAGAGGGGCATTTTACCATTTATTTGATGTTTTTAAGTTACATTTGCTGATCTCTAGCTCGCCGCACATCAAACATAGCCTATAGATCTAGATTCTAGATCTAGATCTAGACATCTAATCTAGAATCTAGATCTAGAATAGGTAGGTCCAGATTTAAGCATGGGTGATAATAGTGCAGGCCAGTCTTTTGGCTATTCTCACCCGGTGCGCGTTCACCGTTATAGCCTAGATCTAGGCCAACAAATTTTGCGTTCACCCTAAACCACAGAATTCTACACTGTGATAACAGAAAAATTGTAGAATTCTGTGCCGTGAATAAACGTTCCATTACAACTGTAGCCTACTAAAAGCGTACAATTTTGTCTGTGGGCAGTGGAGAGAGAGAGAGAGAAAGAGAGAGAGAGGAGTAGCGCGAGAACTTCCGGGCAAAACAAAATGGCGACCCGCGTAGTTCGGCTCGATTCGAAAAGTTAAATAGATTTAGCCGTAGGGCATCTTTGTAGACAACCAAATTAATTTACTTAAATTTTGTGTTTTAACATCATTTTTTAACTTTGTTTTGGTCAATTTGATCGTCCACACTGATAGACAGTATTCAGAAAGAGACAGAGAGAGAGAGAAGAGGGGAGGAGTAGATCTTGCGAGAACCGGGCAGGTGAGAATAGCCACTTTCATTCAATAATCACTACTTTTGGTCCCTTCAATTCTAGACAGGTGATTACACCTGGAATTAGTTCAATGGATACAAGAATCATTTAAATTTAAGTTTATAGCGACGAATCGAACCAGGGTGAGATCATCACAGAGAAAGAGTCATCGTCATGCAAACAAAAACTGTGGCTGTCAAAGCCAACAGCAGTGTGTCAGTGTGTGTGTGTGGTTGAGTGTAGAATCTAAAAACTGTTTCAAGTATTTCAAGAATAAGATGGGAAGAATAGAGTCTAGATCTAGATCTATATGACAATTGACGACTGATCCTTATACTCACGCTGAAGTTTTCGTTGGACATGAGTACCTTAAGAAGTTCTCTTCGTGCATACTAAAATCATTGTTATTTCCTTGAATATTTTGAAAGCTTACATTGTCGAAGACGATTTTCTTCGACGGCTTCTAAAAATAGACACTACCTCCCTGATTTACCAAATCGTGCAGTGCGTCAGAAACTTTTAGATTATATCACGGAATTAAACACTAACAAAAATCAATATTTTTGACGTAAAAATTCTTTGAATATTTATAAAAATGAAGCACAAAGATGCCCTTTCAAAAATGCATCAATGACACAAACCTATTCTTACGTCGCCAAAAACGTATTTCTCAGCAATTGCTTTTTGAATACATTCTTAATCTGGGTAGATGTATATGTCATTTCCTGTAACTTAAGAGTGCTTTCCCATGCAAACCCTTCGTTAATAAAAGAATTCAAAGTATTTATTTTTCAAATTTTTCATTTTTATGAATAATGTAATGTCGAAAGCAACAAGACCTCTTATTGTTTACAATCAAAACTACTACGCAGGGGGGGGGGGGGGGCAGGATTCTAACAAACAAACAAACAAACAAACAAAAAATTTCAAATATGCAACACTCACGGGCAGGCCTAGCAAACATAGTAGATTATACATTAACAATTTTAATCTAAAGTAGTTGTAAATCCCTATTACTTTTTATGTCGTAATGATGTCATCCAACCAAAGCGCAGAAGCTCGAGGCTCGAGGCTCGAGGCGAGGCCAGGTGAAGAGAACGATAGATTGAGGGCAAATATTTTCTTTTCAAAGGGACGAGGCTTCATTTTGTAATTGGAGAGGTACTTATTCCCTCTCACATCAGCAAATGTTTACAGCAAACCAATATTTACATAGGGCGCATTTTTATACACATTTTTTTTTGCCAGTATGCCTTCTACTGTTTGTTTTGTTCGGGTTTTTTGTTGCTCTTTGGGGGGGGGGGGGGGGGCTGAGTAAGAAGGAGCCACGGAGTAAAGCCTAGCAGTAAAGGCTACAGAAAAGAGTCAGGAGCACACAGGGGGGGGGGGGGGGACATGGTTAGAGAGCAGGAAAAGATCCGGAGGTGAAAGGAGGAACCCGGGATCGACCTATTGAATGAGAGGCGGACACCGCAACCTCTAGACCATGTGCCCCTCTCTCTCTCTCTCTCTCTCTCTCTCTCTCTCTCTCTCTCTCTCTCTCTCTCTCTCTCTCTCTCTCTCTCTCTCTCTCTCTCTCTGTGCGTGTGTGTGTGTGTGTGTGTTTGTTTGTGTGTTTGTGTGTGTGCTGTATCCAATAAGCTGCTCCTTCCGTCGGGAAGAATAAATTAATTTCATTGGTTTGGTCCTCAACTTGCTTAGGTTCCCATAGACTGAGTATTATAAAGTCCTGTGGTACACGAATTGATCTTTCATGGGTCAAGGCTGAGACAAACTGATTGTTCTCAAAGTGACTGGGGCTGAAGCCACGCACGGTGTGACATAAGCCTTTGACAAGGGATCGCTTGCACACCCTCATGGCTCCAGAACGAGGATACCGGAACTAACGGATATATTTTTGGATGCTTTGCTGCCAGACCATAAAGCGTAAATTGAGCACGCCCTCATCCCTTTTCCCAGCAGCTCTCTCATGTTCCACTAATTAACGAGCCGCATTACTGGGATCGGATGGTGTCAAGTGTCACTGGTAAGATTGTATGTGTACACCTAAATGAAGCTTTGGGCGGGTTAGCGATCAGTGATGTCTTGAGTTCTGTGTGCGCCTGTACTCTGTAGCCTACGTGGAGATCGCACAAGCAATGGAAACTACCAACAGAATTTTCTCATTTATGTGCAATGATTGGATGCTTATGCAACAAACAATTAAACAACTACTGCATCGGTACTCACTTGTCACATAATTCGAGTAGTGAGTTCATGAGGCCACAGGCCTTGCCTACAGAATTGAACCGTCGAAATGTGGAATTCAGCTGGAAACGAAAGCAGTATCAGGATGCTGAGACATTCATCCGAAAACCGCGAAAGGGCTATTGGGCGACTAAAAGCTGGCTAGTCTGCTGAACATGTGGCAACTACTGTTACAGGCTTGCAAGTTGCCACCACCTACAGTCTACAGAACCGGTTTCGCGCCATCAATGCGACCAGTGATCTACCCTGAGCCTGAAGACCAAGGGCTACAACTGCAGCTCAGTATCACCATGGGGTTCGCCAATACTGGTTGGATCCGTTCCTGATAGCCGCAGAGACCACTATGAGGAACATCATCAGTTGAATGGGACGGGCCCCGAGTACCAGAACCGTACGGCAGAGATTGCACTCCACAGGCCTCCGGCGCAGACGGCCATGTCGCAGGGAAGTTCTGACCCCCTCAGCGCCACCATAACCGGCTTCTGTGGGCACAGGCTCGCATAAACTGGAGGAGCAGATAATTGAGAAGTATGCTGTTCGCGGACAAGAGCAGATTCTGCGAAGATCCGTCAAATGGGGGCATCCGTGTGTGGCGCACAGACCTGACGTGCTACGCTGATGCCAACGTTGTGGAGAGAGACCCTTGGGGAGGGTCAAGCATCATGATTTGGGGAACCATCGCTCTCAGCGTGCGGGCACAATGGAGTCGCTTTCACCTCACCATCCCCTCACTAGCACCAAACAGTCACCAGTTTGCCGACGCTGAAATTTAATTTGTGTAACTACATTTGTACAAGACAGTGGAAGCCGCTCACTCTCCCCACACCATGACCAACCGCGTACCAAAAATAGTTGGGGCCTGCTAACTTAGTGCCGCACTAAAATTGCAGTCGCCTTGGCACACCAGTCGTCAGTTTGTTTATCAGTGAACATGAAACCTAAGGTTTTAATAGCTGCAGTCCAAAAAAGATCAGGTCTTTTATGACAAGACTGATCCCAACTACAGCACACGCACACATGCATACCCCCCCCCCCCCACACACACACACAGAGACACACACAGACTCACACACAGACACAGACACACACACACACACACACACACACACACACACACACACACACACACACACACACACACACACACACACAATAGCAGAAATAATGTTGTCAATGTTGTCGTTTGTTGCTTGCATTAAAGTAGAAATCTGAACATGGACTACGAAAATACCTTTCTGCACAGTACAGTAACTGCTCAAAATACAGTACGTCTAACTGTATTAAAGGGGGGGGGGGGGCGGGTTACACATGAAGGCTATCTCGCTTATTAGAGGACCAAATTTTATCAAATTTCGCACATTATATAAAAAGCTTAGTATTTGAGTCTTAAAATCTGCCATCAAATTTGAGAAAAAAAGTTTCACTTCCAAAGACCCGGTGGCCATATTTAGACTTTGTTGACATGTCTTACATAATGAATACCGCACTTATTATTCATGGAAATTGATTGTTTTGGGGGATTTTTCTTTGCATGCATGTTAGCAAACATTAGATCTAAAAATTTGTCAGTTGATATTTTCCTAAACGAATTAGAACATTTTTAATGAATTTTTTCGTGAGGTAGTGTTCAAGTTTGAAAAAAATTAGTAAAAAAGCAACACTCCAGACACCACAACAAAAATCTATCCTATATTATATAAAAAAATTCAACAGACAAATTTTTAGCCTTACATTTTTTCTTCATTCTGTGAAAATTTAATGAAGATTGGATGAAAAATGGTGGAGTTATTTTAAAAAATATAGAGAGATATCGCGTTTTGAGAAAACGGCCAATAAATAAAAATAAAAATATTGACTTTATGAGGAAATGGTGGTGACAAACATGCCTAGTATGGGAAGAAATAAGGCTTTTGGGGGTTCTTATGCGATGAAATAACAACTCAAATTCCATAAATTTGAGCCGAATCGGGACTTTGGGAGTGTAGCACCCCCCCCCCCCTTAAGTGGTAAAACACATAATATTCTGCCATGGCACGGAGCCATCTCTAGAACTGGAATAATTCATTAACGTTTCTCTAATTTGTACTCCACTCTTGGTAGTTTTCATACCGGTTGTATGGATGTTGCGATATGTCGTTTCTGGAGTTGCCCCATTTTCCTCACTTTTGATCACATGGATCAATGAGACTCACGGATCAGTATTAAAAGTTATGAAGGACTTTAATTGCCTTTACAGCATTTGTGGCAGGCTCGAACTGCCGCCATCTTGAATGGTGAAGGCGATTCCACTCGGTTCCCTTCTCCTCACCCTCTTTTGTGCGTACCAAAATGGTGACGACGTTGATAAAGGGATGGTGCTGTGAAAGCGACTCCACTGTGCCTGCGCGCTAAATCAAAGAATTGGACAAGAGCTCTTCTAGAAAGTGGGTCACAGACAAGGAAATGGGGCAATTAAGAGCTCAAGGCTACATTGACCAAGCTCTTCAGCTTTATGTGGTGCCTTTTTTCTAGGGGCAGCTAAATTTATTTTTCCAGCAAGACAACACCAGACCTCATACTGCCCGTATAACACAGTACTTTCTGGGGCATATCAACACCAATCTTTAGCCTCATCCGGCTCGTTCACCAGATTTAAACCCAATTGAGCACGTTTGGGACGCTATACAGAGGCAGCTCAACCAGCTGCAACACCCACCACGGACAGATCACCAATTGGTTTCAGCCATCGGCAGGGTGTGGGTACAAATCCCGGGTCGACATGTAAACACTCTCGTGAACTTCAGGGGTTGAAGAAGCAGAGTGGTTATTCCAACCAACGGAAGTCCAACACGGTACAGTCCACGCCGGCTTTAAGCACGGTCATTGGGAGAAAGCATAAGCGTGCTTAAATCCGAAGCGTGCTTGAGTGCGAAGTAGACATAATCCAGAGATTTTCATGAAGAAAATTTCCCGTGCTATTTCCCTTTGTTTGTAAGTAGGCCTATAGCGGTCCCGCAAAAGTGTGCACTGTTGTTTTTAGCCGCCATGGTAGTTTTTGTTTGCTTGGTTGTTATTGTTTTGTGGTCGAATGGGAAATGAAAACTTAATTTAGACGGCCAGTCACGATACAGCACACTAGTAGGTCTACACGCTGCTTGTGCGTACCACTGCCCGCTGGGCCACATTCATACCACCGCCTTCATCTCACCTCGCGCGTGATACATAATC